GAGTTTCCGAGTTGGGGGCGTGTCAATGAGAAACATGGCGGAATCGATGGATGCAACGTCTGTAACTGACGGTAAATTTTTGTTTATATTGATAGTTTAGTTTTCCTATAAACTTAAATTGGTCATGTTCTTGTTACGCAGCTAGTTAATGAAATCCAAGTAAAAAAATGCAGACCCCGTTGTATTTTCTTGTAATTTATTAAAAGAAAGTACACCGCCATCTTTTGCCGACTAAACTGACTTGAACAAACCTGACGTCATAATTACGACTTGTCAACTCGTAAGTACGAACGTCCCAGGAGGACTTGAACGCAGCATAAGTTGGCATGAAATGAAAATTATTTACTGAATGCCTGTAATTGATCTTATTGTGAACAACCGAGCATGTTTAATTTATTAAAACAGGTTTGACCTTGTAGTGTTCAAAATGTCATAATGCAACTTTCTAGTGAAATCTACAGGATTCTCTCTGGTGGCGTATCTAGGACTTCTCAAATCATTTAGTCCATTTAAAATCCGACCCTGCAAGCAGCTCAAAATTCAATCAACAACCAGTGAATAGAACCCACCCTACATTTGAGTTTTTCGATAATCTGTTGCACTCGAATACAGAAGAAAAGGTCTGTTTAATTCAGTAATGTCACAACTTTTAAAGCCAATGGACCCTAATCGAAATTTGCTTTCTTAATGCATGTTATTTCTTTTACAAACAGTGTTGTCTTAGTAATCTTTTATATAAGGAAACAACTCTCTTTTTTCTACTGATATCACAGATCCCCATTTTTCAACCCCTTTCCCTTCAGCCATCTGGCTCCATTGTCAACTCCCAATAGATCACATCAAGTCCCACCCTACTTTTTCCCATTTAATATTGTGTTTCATTCAGAAACTTGTCAGATTACAGAGGTAAAAATAGGTTTCGAACAGTCCATGTTGACTTTATAGGCCTCACCCATCTCTTAAATCAAATATCTACGTGGTTTCTATTCATTTACATGTCTTTGAAATGTATCGAGTGTAAATCTTCATGTCTAGACTCAGACTGACAGTCTATTGTGTTTGTTAAATCATATTTTAGTATGCAAGATTGCGGTGTTTCAGATTTAAATTTTTGTGAATTGATACAACAGCTCCGTGTTTGTGATTTTTACAGTTCTGCAACAGACTCAGTGAAGTCAGGAAAGGCGATACAGTGTGGAAAATTGTTTGGATTGTATTTGTGTTCTTCTAAAACCTTGAGCCTCAAGAGCCAGTAAAGACATCAAGATAAGAGCAAAAGAATCTCAAAAATTGCAAGTCTCCACCTGTCTGATAAGCCAACTAATGTGAGAATGTCTTCGTAGTCTTCATGCTTGAGTGTTTTTTCATTTGAGTATAGATGGGCTGCTACCACCCAGTAAACATTTAGATCAGATTTCAGTATCGATCATCACCAGAGCATGGAGATCATGTGAATAGTTTCATCAGGTCAGGTTTCTGACAAATATTTTCTTTAAATCATGCGAATGTTTTTCGACGGCGAAGTTGCTGTTTACTGCATTTTTGTTTTATTGAAGGTGCTTCTTGTAGCTGTTTTTAGAGTAACATTTAATGAGATTTAAAAAAAAAAAAAAAACAGTAAAATTACAGTAACAAGAAACAGAAAAAAGGAAATTGCATTGACATTGCTTTTACTAATCTACCATATTTTTTAGCCTTGCAAATTGTTAATAACATGATTATTAAATATTTTAGATTAACCAAAGTAGTAAACAGCAGATAAATCATTTACAAGAATAGTTAATTGCATTACTATAATTTAGCCCAAAATATTTTTTCACTCTCACAAACATTGTACTAAACCACTCTGCCTGAAGCCAGAATACA